TTATATTCGAAATCTATCATGTTTTTAACTTTTTTATTATCATTAATAATAGCGTTATAATCATCTTGGAAATCTTCTTCAATTGCATGGATTTCAGGAAGCGCAGTATTATCTTCGTAACATAAAGTAGTATAACTTTCAAATATCAAGGCAAAATCAATGGAGTCTTTAATTATATTCTCCAATTGTGACGCAAAAGCTCTCTCATCATCATTAATAGCTGAATCAATATTATATTGTGGATAATTAAAAGCTTCTTGTAACAATTTTAAAATGTTTCTTACATTCATCGTCATTTTTTTGTATACGTATTCGGTATAAAAATACGTAATTGGTGAGCTTAAGGTGTTTACTGATTTTTAAATTAATTTAATCGAGATTAGAACACCGTTGAAACCCTTAACGATCAACGCGATTGTCCGAGAAACTTTCTTCTTTGAAATATGGACTGCAGGATGTGAATGTGAATGTGAGAAATGGGCCCCGGAGCATCTCATGTAAACAAAAGCCGCGAGCTAACAATAAGGAGTGAGGAGCGCTCGCCTGGCGACGGAGGCATTCATATTTCAAAGAAGAAAGTTTCTCGGCTTCATCAAAGTGGATTCACAATTTTAAAATAAAACACGGAATCGTATCCAGAAAAATTAATAAATTCACTACCCAAACGCTCTTATCAAAGAAAGATGATTTAGTACAAGAAGCAAATCAATTTGTATCCAAAATTAGGGAGCAAATCTCATTATTAGGAGCTGACAATGTTTATAATTCAGATCAGTCTGGTTTTAATTATGAATCACATGCAGGACGAACATTATCTTTCAAAGGAACAGCAAAAGTTGAATGTTTAACACAATCGAAGAATTCATTAACACATAGCTATACCATACAACCGATTGTATCAGCTAGTGGATTACTCAAGTCGCCTTTATTTATTGTTTTACAAGAAACGGGTGGGCAGTTTGGACCTGTTGTTGAAATGAACATATATAAAGCAGAAAATATTGTCGTAGTACCTTCAAAATCTGGGAAATTATCATCTGACCTGGCAGTTCAATGGTACAAAGATATTTACTTATCTGTGGTTGATAAACAATCGGTTTTATGTTTAGATTCGTGGACAGGACAAACAAAGAAAATTTTGACAACGTTTGTCTAGAAGGCAAAGATGTCAATATTTGTACAATTCCTGCTGGGACAACTGGTATGATTCAACCCCTAGATGTTTATGGATTCAGACCATGGAAAAATTTTTTAAAACATTTTTCAGATCTGGTAATTTTGTATGGCTTTGATGTCAATTTACATGCAAGAAACAATGTATTAAAACTTCAGTCGCTGATTCATAACCAGTTTTCTTCAGCCAGGTTTGTAAACATGTTTAAATATGCATGGTATAAAAGTGGGTATATTCAAGAAAAACCACCTAAATGCAAGACTCCTGTCCGATACTGTTTTGAAAATTGTGATACATCTTGCAAGTATTGTGAAGATAATGCTTTAATTAGGTGCGCTTGGTGTACACATTATATATGTTTTACTCATTTTTTTGATCCCAGCAATCAAAGCGTCCCTCATTATTGTAAAGACTATAAAGAATAGCCATTAATTAATATTACTAAAGTTAGTTATAATGTAACGTTTAATTAATTTAATTTTTTTTAATTGTTAAAATACAAATATAAAAATTAAAAAACAACATACAAATAAAAACACAAAAAAATTACAAAACAATAAACAAATAAAAAAAACAAAAAACCAAAAAAACCAAAAAAATAAAATAAAATGGGATCCACGCGGCCACGTCCCCGTCGTGATCCTGGGTAATGCTAAGAGCCGCGATCCTGGTTTCTTACTCTTATTAAGGGTAGGTTTTTCCTCACCCCTTATAGAATTGAAGGGTTGATCAGACTATAATTTGTAAATATTAATTAATTTGACGATAAATGAAACTGTTTACCATTATTTCGGAATAAATTTAAATGTTACGTAAGAAATTCGATAAAAGGGTGGTCACCCTTAAATCCTCAAACAGTCTCACTTTTGTTTTGGATGCGAGTGTAACATATATTTTTTTAAAAATTTTTGAATAAAATTTGCAATTATCTGGGCATTTTTAAAATTTTTGTTTCAAATACAGGGGGTGGTTTACCCCCTAAAAATGATCGAACCGAGTCGAAAATTTTCCATTTTTCATATCTCTTGACGATGCAACTATTTTATTTGGTTCGGGCCGAAAATACTAAATCCTTATATACAAAACAATTAAATCGATACCCATAAATTTAAAGGGGTGTAAAGGGGTGTAAATATGGTTTTCCGCCGATAAAAAAAAATACGTATGTCTTATTTTTACGTCTACTACAACATATTCAAAAATTATCAAAATCGGTGATTTACATTTGGGTAGTGTTACTTGTAAGATATTTTATACTAATTATGTATTAAAAATGTTATATTTTTACATTTTTTGTGTATATAACCTTAAACTATTCTAAGCAGAAAAGCTTTATAAGTATGTAAAAAATATACAAAATATTACGTAAATCATATATAAAATCTGTCTGTTAAACTTTATTTACTATTATATGTAAGATAAAAGTTAAAGAAAAAAAGGATTACCTTCGATTTGATAACACGTTGAAATCTCTTACTCCATCGATTACCGAGCAAGCGGGAAGAGACCGGAACAGGAACATATGCAGATGGCGTTGAACGTATGTACCGTTTCCATATTTGGCGTCAAACCTGAGATTATACGCCCGCGATAGAAAGGCGTACGTATCTTTACCGTATCTTTGAGTAAATTCTGAGATTGTACGCACGCGATAGAAAACCGAATCATACTATAAGAGATATTATAGAGTTGTTCTCAGTATCTTACGGATGATCACAGTATAATGAGTATGAAAATGGGATGATACGCAGGATATCATGTGCTGTTAGGGTAGGTCTAAAGACAACGCTATTATATCGAACCCATGCAACTTCCATTAAATTGTTATCATCTACTTGGGATACATTCGTAAAAATTGAGTTGAAACAAGTTGCCAATGTCTTCCTACGAATGAGTGTTATTAAATGCGCATCCGAATCACTTTATACTAATCTTATTTCTGGACTTATTTCAATTATATCGTTAAGCCCTCTTTTACAAAGAAATCTATAACAAGAATGCAATTGCAATTTGATCGCTAATGTTAATGTTATATTTTTCCTTGATGTTACGATAAACGCATAATTCTTCGAAATTTTATGAAATCCCTCATATCGAATAGAAGATAAACTTTTAAGAGGTCCCATTCTTCGAATAATTTCTGGATAATGTACCATAAAATGAAATTTGGGTTTTAGATGATCATTGAATAATCGTATATACATTTCATGATGAGAAATTATTAACCCTTTAAGGAAATTTATTTGAACGTTTGAAATAATTGTATCTGTTACGATATTAATAATTTCACAAAGTATAAGATAAAAATCCCAAACTTCATTATCATAAGGAATTAAATCTCCTATAATAAAAGTTAAATAACAAATCATTGCAGACATTTCTGCTGCTGTAATCGATGCGTATAAAGATTGTCGACAGAAAGTGAATGATGTTTCGTTATCGAAACGACGCAACGCACTGAATCGAAAAGAAGCTTCTAAACACAGATCGGACCTGTGTAGAAAAACCTGAAGCAAAACAGAATGTTTTCGGTTACACGAATATTCAGTCCCCCTCACCCTCCTTTCCATTGGTATGCCTAAAACTTCTTTTCGCTCGATTCAGTGCGTTACGTCGTTTCGCTAGCGAAACAACGTTCATTTTCTGTCATCGCTCTTTTCTTCCTTTATTTTCTTTTCTTTTTTTTATGAAACAAAAGATGGTCTTGTTGCCACGATCTCATCCGTAACATCCATTCGAGCATTTTCCGAAGTAATTGCATCGATTATTATACGCATCGATTATTATACGCATCGATTATTATACGCATTTATGTGCGAAGACTAATTCTGCTCAAAATTGGATATTTCGAAACATTTCGAGGAAATGGATTTTCTTTTAAAGAGTTGGGATAATTCTAATTTATTATTTCTTTTCGAATAAAAATTTCTTTATAACTATAATATTATCTTATTTATTATTTATTATCTTATTTATTATTTAACCAACCTTGGATATTTTTGATTTACTCGTATCTTTTGAATCTTATTTGTTGTGCACAATAAATTAATACATTTTTATAAATTATAATTTATTATATAAATATATAATTCGTTTTTTCTCTTATTTTATTTACACTGAAGTTTGATATAAATTTATATTTACATTTGAGATTTTCTTATATTTAACATTTTATATTTTCTTTATGTAGCGAATGATATTAAAAGTGTAGATGATTTGGGCGATCTTTTAAACGAATGTAATTCGTCTGATTTCAATAAATTGATTCCCAACGTTTTAAATCGATTGAAACTACGCAGACATTTCAATGACTACAACGTATGTTTTCTCTATTTATATATTTTTTATCTATTTTTTATATTAATTATTATGTAATTAAACTGATTCTATTTGCTACTATTTTTAATCAGTGTAATTATAAAATGGAAAAATAATAAAAATTTGAATTATTTTTACAGATTCGCAATAAAACAGTTGACTTTGATTGTTCAAGTTTTAGTACAGAGAATGATAATATAAATAATTCAATTCTTGTTGATTTAATAAATCTTCCAACAAAACCTGAGAATGCTATTGTCATAGAAGATATTAGCGATAACTGTCAAAATGTGAATAATTCTTTAGTCGAAAATAAAGAAATATTACCATATGAACCACTTGTAGAGAAAACAAGACTAAATTTAAAAACAGTGGAATTTAATTTAAAGGAAATATTATCAAAAACAGCTTTCGGTAATTCTCTGATACTAATAAATCAACATGGAGGAAATATTACGTCTCAATGCCAATCCATTTTATGTGATATAATTATATCATACTTTTTGAAATTTAAATATCAGGTATATTTATATGTTATTTTGTCTATAATTTTTTTATTGTGTTACTTTACAATATTTTATCTTTTATGTATTATTTAAAATATCTTTTTCATTTGAGATCCAATAATCTACATTTACTATATCTCTATATCGTGATATTTACATATTAATTATTATGTTGTTTAAATACATAGAGCCGAATTATATACCAATTTATTTACATATTAAATTTTCTTTTTTAAAGAACACTTCAAAACGAAGATTTTGCTAAAATTACAGAGGAAATAATTGAGTTATTTCCAAAAGAATGTAAAGAAACTTACTATATGCCACCTATACGAAAAAAGTATTCAAAAATTGATAAAGCTGGTATCTCAAGAGGAAAATTGGTCGATAAATTTCGTAATGCATTAAAATTTATCCGTTATGCTGACAAGTTGAAAAATAATAATCACATTGAACAAAATGTTATTGTAAGCCAAGGTATTAATATTTTGTATTAAGATTTATCATGGAATTTTTGAAAAATATATAACTGGTCCAATAAATATTAATTTTAAAAATTTTTTAAATTCTTCTCAGCTGATGATCAACAAATCGCAGAAGAACATAGAATTTGGTTGATCCACAACCAAAAATGACAGAATGAAGTTAATGAAAAATGGGATGCGTCATATATATATATTACGCGTTGAAGATTGCGCTAGTAAAAATATACAAAAATGTTAATGACTTATTTATAAAGTGGTCTATATTGAAATTGGATTCTTCTTATATATTGGTAAATGTCTTTATTTTGAAATAATATAATAAAATAAGGCTTTAATGATAAAATAAGACTATTTTTAAATAAGACTATATTTAAAATATAAATAATAGAGAATGAGTTAATAAGAGCTCAATTCAAGCACGGAAATAAAGCGTATGAATTTTTTTCATTTAAAATCTTTATTAAAGGAAGTGAACATTAAAAATAATTTTAAAAAGACTTTTAACTGCAAATTTTACTACTAACAACTACAAACAAAATATTATAATTTGAGTATTAAATCTTTAATAATCTTTATTAATAATTTATTAAGTTCACGTAGGTATAATAATTTGTATTTATTCTTATAGATTGAAAGGGATTTTGATCGAAAATTTCCTCAATATAAAGAAAAGTTATTGAAATCTTGGAACGTAAATTTTTCACTTATTTTAAAAAAATTTATCTGCAGGAGGGAACATTTATGAAAGTTTAATGAATGCACAGCATTTAAACTTAGGTAAATATTCGTACATTAAAATTCGTACATTAAAAATTTTATTTTAATTTGTAATAAAAATGATACACACATACAGATATGTTTCATATATATGGGTTATTATTAGACACTCTGTGTCTTAATATTTCTTCTATTAATACATATCTATTGATTTCCTCATAGATTCGAAAACAATCCTTCAAATATGGCTTTTAACCAAGTGTTGTAGCTCCTAAATCAAGTAAAATTACTTTTAAAATTGGGAACAAGAAAAGAATGTGGAAACCTACAATCTCGGAAAGTCAGGAAGGAATTCTAATACACTGTAAAGTAAGTTAAACTCCATTCTTGTTCCAGATTCGAAATAAAAAAAAATCGAAATTGATATTTTATCAAGAGACAATGATGTATATATAGAAGTGTTTTACAACAGACATTTTTACTGGGCGCTTTTTCAGTTTTTTAAAAAGATTTGTTAAAGTTAAACTAACATTTATAATTAGAGGTTTCTTACCTTTTGTAATTTACTTTAGGTACCTGGCGATATTGAAAAAATATGTCAGGACAAACAAAATAAAATGCGTCAAATGAACCTTACGATGCAACCTTTTGTAATCATCATTGGACCAGAAATAACTGCAATCGACAATGTATACATTCGACTCGATACAACATTGTATTCTATGCCGACGGTATTAAAAGCATTGGATGTATTTTTCAAGATTTTTGTAACATTTAATGCGTGTTATTCGAAAGAATGTGAAAATATGTGGTATCTAATTCAGTGGGAATTTATGAGATCCATACAATTTGGGATGAGAACATTCCCTTTCTGTGCACTGCATTAAATAAAATAAAAAGAGGTTAGTCTTCATTGTGTATAAGTCTGAAAACTTGTTTTCACAACTTGTTTGTATCATTTGCTCTTTTGAAAATCTATTACTTTTTATTTAGTAATATTGATTTATTGCTATTTATTGTATAATATATATATATATATATATATATATATATATATATATATATACCGAACTTATTTTCTCATTAGTATTAAGTTTTATTAGTTTAGTATTAACTTTTATTATTTGTTTTTGACATATGTAACAATTAATTTTCTTGCGCCTTTTTAAAACATAAAATATTACGCTTAAATAATAATTTTTCAAATACTAACATCGTATTTTAAAAGATTGCTTTAGCCAAAAATGGATTGTCGAATTTGTTTAAAAAAGATTTTCGGAGATACTCGAGCATATATTAAACATTTAAAATCATATCATCCATTTGAGATGACATATAAATGTGTGGGTAAAACACAATTAAAACTGAACGTTATGATAAACAATAATTCTGTATTTACTTCTAATTACAATTACGAATGCCTGTATACTATGTGTAGGTGTGGATGTGTACTGTATGCGAGCAAGTGATGTGTCTGGAGGCGGAAAAGTTACTGCTCTCTGGAAAAATCCGGGTTCGGCATGCACGAACCGAGAGGAGTTTTTTTATGGAAGGAGAAATTTTACAAGGGACGGGTTGCGTAAGGAAAAGCCGTGTGTTTGCCAAATGTTACATGGCAATCTATACGGCTGCGGAACATGCAAGGGTTGTAAATCTGTGGAGGTGAAAGCGAATGCATGCATGCGGGAATTAGAAAGCTGTTAGGATTTCCGAACGTGTGCGTGTGTGTGTAACGCGGCGGAGTAGAAGACAATTGTCCCTACAGTACCCTCTTGCTAGTGTTTAACGATATATAAGAATTTATGAAAATCCTCCCTGTAGCCGGTCCGGGAAGGATACGTCTGCCTGATTTGGTTATGTGGTTGGTCGAGTTTTCTAGTATTGTTTTCTGCTATGTGTGTTTGTGTGTATTTGGTAGGTCTGTGATTACTGTGTTCTTTTCGGAAGGGCCTGGAACGTCCTGATCGTTGTTGCTTTCCTGAGAGACGAGTGGATCATCGGCCATGATGTATGCTGGTTTAAGGCGGTCGATGGAAACCGTAACGTCACGGCCGTTCATGCGAACCACGAACGTCTTCTCTGCTCGTTTAATTACTTTGTATAGGCCGTCATACGGTTGTTGCAGAGGCTGTTTGAGACCATCGTGGCGTACAAAGACTTCCTCCGAGGTAGCAAGGTCCTTGAACACGAACGTCTTACCCGTACCATGGCGAGATACCTTCGTCGGTCTCAATTCCCTCAGGTGTTGGCGTAGCTCCTTGACGAAATCTGTTACGTTGTCTGTTGCGTTGTCGCGGTGTAGAGATCCTAAGAACTCGCCCGGAAGACGTAGCGACTTCCCGTAGACCATGTCGGCTGCCGTGGCTTGCAGGTCTTCTTTCCAGGCTGAGCGGATGCCCAGCAAGACGGTAGAAAGGCTCTGTGTCCATCGATGTTGCTGTTGGCACATGATTGCTGCTTTTAGTTGACGGTGTAACCGTTCAACCATGCCGTTGGCTGAAGGGTGGTATGCGGTTGTTCTTAGGTGAGTCGTACCTAACAAGTGATTAATCAATTGCTTGAAAAGATATGACTCAAACTGCCTATCTTGATCCGTGGTTATTCTCAATGGCGTGTCAAACCGAGATATCCATCCATCGTAGAGAGCACGTGCGACAGTTGAAGCTTCTTGGTCGTGCAGGGGAACAGCTTCTGGCCAGCGAGAGTATCGGTCTACTATAGTCAGGCAGTATCGGCATCCCTCTGACAGTGGCATGATTATAATGTCTATATGTATATGTTCGAACCTGGCAGAAGGTGGTGCGAATGTGCCGACAGGTGAGGAGACATGGCGAGAGATCTTGACGCGTTGGCATTGGATGCAGCTGCGGGCCCATTGTCTGCAATCAGATTTGATCGACGGCCATACGTAACGCTGAGTTACGAGCTTGACCGTCGCGTTGATTCCCGGGTGAGACAGCTGGTGCAGTGAGTCGAATGCGACTTTCCTGAACTCTTGAGTAACGAAGGGCCGCACTGTTTGTGATGGGACGTCGCAAAATACTGCCACGTCGGTGCCAGGGATGCACACCTTTTTCAGTACGAGGGTGGAGTCTTCCTCCAAGTATCGCCGGAGCTCTTCATCTTCTTGTTGGGCTGCTGCCAAGGCTTCGAAATCGAGAGTACGCTGAACTTCCTCCACGCGCGACAGAGCGTCTGCTACCACGTTGTCCTCCCCGGAAACGTGGCGGATATCGGTGGTGAACTGTCTGATGAAGTCCAGGTGTCTGAACAGGAGGTGAACATTGGACCGTCTTCTTGTGAAACGCATAGACGAAAGGTTTGTGGTCCGTGTAGACTGTGAACGACCGTCCCTCCACGGTGTGTCTGAAGTGCTTGATTGCTAGGTAAATAGCAAGTAACTCCCGATCGTAGGCTCCGTATTTTGCTTCCGCAGGACTTAGCTTTTTGGAAAAGAATTCAAGGGGTTGTCAGGCATCTCCGATCCGTTGTTGGAGGCTGCTCCGACTGCGTAGTCTGACGCGTCGCTGAAGATTGCGAGCGGTGCATCGGGCTCGGGATGAGCCAGCAAGGTTGCTTGGGCTGAGCATTCCTTGCTTGATTCAAATGCTTCTATAGACGTTGATGTCCAGTTGACTGGCGACTTCCCTTTAACATTGCCTAGCAGCAGGTTGTTAAGCGGTGCTTGAATCTCTACAGCCTTGGGCAAGAATCTTCTATAAAAATTCAACATGCCCAAGAATTGACGTAATTTCTTCACGGTGTCGGGTCGTGGATAGGCCCGTATGGCGTCGACCTTTTCCGGTAGCGGGCGAGTCCCTGCGCCGGAAACGAGGTAGCCGAGAAATTTAACTTCGGGCTGTCCAAATACGCATTTTGCTGGGTTGATGATGACACATACTTCTTCAGCCGCTCAAACAGAATTCTCAGGTGTTTCAGATGTTCTACCTCTGATGTTGATGCGATGAGGATATCGTCGATGTACGCGTAGCAGAACTCCAGCCCTTGCAGCACCTCGTCAATAAAGCGCTGGAAAGTCTGCGCTGCATTACGCAAACCGAAGGTCATGAATTCGAACTCGAAGAGTCCAAAAAGGCGTCGTAATGACTGTCTTTGGAATGTCCTCCTCCGCGACCGGAATCTGATTGAAGGCTCGTACCAGATCGATGGTGGAAAAAACGTTTTTCCCATGAAGTGACTGGGAGAAATCCTGGATGTGCCTCACTGGATATCGGTAGGTTCTCGCGTTCAGAGCGCGATAATCTCCGCAAGGCCGCCAGTCGTCGGCTCTTTTTCGGTACCATGTGCAAGGGCGATGCCTAGGAGCTCTGTGACGGGCGAGCGATTCCCAGGCGCAGCATGGCCTCGAATTCCTTCTTCGTCGCTTTTAACTTTTCCGTTGAAAGGCGACGTGGTCTCTGTGCTCAATCGCAATTTTGGCTTCGCAATATGCTTCATTATTAGAAAATATTTTTTAGTACAACTGATAAATTCATCAGATCGTATGTACGAGG